AAAAGTTGTAATGTAACCTCGTTTAGTTTTTTTAAATGTTATATCTTAAGCTGTGTCCTGTTTGTAAAATATATAAAATTTTTAACCAATTTAGTCACTATGGTTGTTTATTTTAACAATTATATTATAGATATTTTATTTTTGTCTAACCAATAGTATTCATAATAATACGTGATGGAATATCATTTCAATTATATGTGTACTGTAAGTTATAACTACATCCAGCATGAATCTGCTAGTATCAATAGTATTTATTTTAATCAGTCACGATATCCTATCAACTCGTGAAACTGCGCAAGAAGTGCTTAAAAAGTATTTCAAGTGTTATACTTAACAAAATAAATCGGCCTCTAAATTCAGGTGAAGTATAGTGGTGATGTATATTCAAAACTTGCATATATATATATGAGAATTTACTTGGATATTGTCTATTCAATGGAAAAATAAATTAATAAATGCATAATAGTTAGGGATATATGTAGAGACAACAATTATTATTAGTATCCAACATTATAGTTGGAGACAACAATTTTAAAAACTGTGTGTTTTTAACCCATTAAATGTGTGTAGTTTTAACCTAACAAAAGTGTGTAGTTTTTTTCTGTATTATATTAAAAGAGTGTAGTTTTAGGAACGATGGAAGCTACTTTCGTTTTAGAAGGTAGAGATAATTAGAAATGGATAATTTAATTATTAAAAGAAAAAACCATAAGTCGTGATTACGAGAAAAAGTTCCAATGAAAAGAATGATCACCAAAGTCGCTCTCTTTAAATAACTTACCGAACATGTTGGTTATTGATGATTCCAATATATCTTATTTTATTACGCTGTAAAATTGATTATTTCATCAATCGCAGCAATCCGCACCATACACCTTGTTCGCGTTTAATAGATGGTAAAAATAGTGAATTCATAAACTTACATCACCAATTCAGTAATATTTTTTTTTTTCTTTTTACATTGAGTTTTCAACTTATATTTTGTACGAGTTAAGACCAAATAACGATAGAGTACAACACTAATACAATTTATAAGTACATGTGTACACGTAATTTGCTTCACAGTTCATTCTTTCGAGTTTATGTAGATCCAGTCGTACATCCAGTGTACGTTACATGTAACGCTACCATGTATGAGTTTATATAGGCGGCGCGAATGTATTACATTCTACCTAGCGCCTGTGATGGTCATTATATGACTTCATACCCGAAATAAATTGAGTGGGTACGCCATTGGTATGAAAATAACGTGAATAGTAGATACGCTGTAAGTATAATGACTATGTACATATTGTATACACATTATAATATTGTATTACGACTAATCGAGCATCGTGTCAATTGCAGGGAAGGTATTTTAAATAAATTAAGTCACAATAACCCTCGAACTCGGAGTATTCAATATATTATTCTATGTACATTTCACGAGTTCAATAATAAATTAAAACATCTGACGATGACGTGAAGGTATTCGCATCGACCGGATTATTAAAATTCATCTGATAGTGGCGCTTTCGGGAACACCATTTATATCCGATTCTTGTCGTGTTGAATGACGGTTTTCCCACGCCCTTCAATGTCAGTAAGGTACAAACCCTGTTCTTTCGTATCTGTGGTTTACTTAAGGTATTAGGCAAATCGAAATCATAAGTATCAAGTTTATTAACATCAAAACCATATGTTCAGTAGAGTAAACAGAGGAAAAATAGTCATAGAATAGATGGGCAGTTTCCTGTTCATTTGTAAAAGTAGATTCGTTATAGGTAATTTTCTTTTGAATACCATTATTAAATCAGCTGTTCCTAAAGAATTTCCAGAAATCATTGTGCTTGGTTTAAAGAGCTTTTTTGTACGTTCGATATAGCTTTGATAACATTTTTTTGTCTCATGCTTAAGTTTAACCCGAAGTAAAGAGAATTCACGATAATCGATAATACTTAAAAAAAACTTAAACTTCATATGACCTCTCTTTTTTAAGAATAATATTAAATTTAAATCATTAGTAAACTCAGTAGGATAAGTAGATTCCCTAAAATAGGACCGGGGAATAAAATCGAGAGTTGATTTATGTAATGCATCATATAACTTCATTACCTGTAATATCACATTAACTGTTGAATCAAGATCATATTCAGAAATCGTTGAACACCAATCAAATGAGATATAAAGAAATGGATTTTCTTATAATTTCTTTTGCGAAAATTATAAAATTTGTGATTCTGATTACAAAAACAAAAAAGGGAAAATAAAAGAAAGAGTAATATCTAATACTAGATCATATTTATCAATTGGTACCAATGGTTCAAATGATTTTTTAACGATAATATATTTATCATTACAAAATATATCAAAAATAGATTTATTTGAATTATAAATAATATTTTTTTGAAAAAAAAAGTTAGTTGAAAATGATTCAGGGATGCATGTGGCACTAGCAGAAGAGGTAAAAGAAATTCCAATGCTATTATTATCATTATCCCAGGTTACTTCAGGAATATTATAGTCCTCACAAATAATAAAGGTATCATTAGGATATTTATTAATTAGGTATTCAACAGAGGAAAAGTGTGATTTATAAATGAGGCGGAATATTGATACCACCAACCATAAAAGAGAATTAATTAATATTAAAATGGCCAAAATATGTTCTACATTTAACTGGGTGGCAACAATAGAGTAAGAGGGAAAATGTTTTCGAATAATAATGAGAACACCACTTATACGACTTCAATTACTATTAGACATACATCTGTCGTACCTAAAAATATTATAGTTAACAAGACCAAATTCGAAATTCGAAATAATTTCATGCAACCAAGTTTCTGATGATACAATAAACACATCATTTTCAGACGATACATTACATTTAAAATTTGTTAATTTTGTATTAAGCTTCCGACAGTTTTGGTAGAAAACAGTTGGTAATGAAGTAAACCTTATAGTATCTGCTAAGTTTGTTTGCGTGCTTGGTGATGACGAATTTCTCCATTTTTTGAGATGGTATGTCCTACTTTGGGAAATCCATTTTCAATGACAATTCGTAAGCCAGATTCACCACTTTTGATTCTTTGACCTAGTTCAGAATGATATGAACGAAGTAGTTTTCGGTATAAAAGTGTCTTGTTACTATTCAGACGAAAATGATCTAATTAAATCGTACCCGAACGTTTAGCTGTATTGAAAGAAGTTAATAGGTGTGCTGCCGCATCTTTAATTTCAAAAATACCTTTAAGTGGTCTGGAAGAAGAATTACTTGGTTTTCCAAGACGTACTGATTTGATGTTTGGTGAGACAGAATCACCAATACATGAAAGTATATTATAAAAAGTATTTTTTGTCATGCGTTATATGCAAGAAAATATCCAAAGAAGGAGATTCAGGGACCTCATAGGCAATCAAATTTGTCTGACATATTTCTCGTTCAAATGTTTCATGGAGAACTTGTTGAGGAATAATAAGAATAAAACGTTTTAATTATATTTTAATAGGTATTTTAAATTACATGGGTTCATTTTAACGCATGAGTGGTGTCTGCAAATATGTTAGAGTATTTTTAGTTTTCTTTTTTTTTTTTTATTTTGGGTGAGGTCCAGTTCTCCTGGGTCCCCTTCCCTGTCAATTCGTCATTAATTGTGGTTACGCTGTCGTTACACTTATTCAGTGGCAACAGTGCGGGAAGTCTGTTTTAAATTAGAACTTTTGCATTATCTTATGCACATAGCTGTTTATCTCTGTCTTCCTGAGATCACGCGTGTACCGGTCACTTTAATCGCGACGTTGTTAATTTAATAATTTATTAGAAAACCCAAAAGTGCGGTCGTTCATTTGGGAATACGAAGGAGGAGCAGTGAAAATTGCGAATATCCACCAAGATTGCGTACTACTCGTATATCACGAGCGGGTAGTATATCTTTATATTTGGTAGACGAAACGAACACGTGTATTCTCACAGTTGTAATAGCACCGCTTTTACATTTATTGTAATAATCCGCGCGTTTTCAATAAAATTGTGATGTTTATGATCGGTCAACCAATCGTTCCGAGAACCCGCGGAAATCGGTTTTTATCGTTGATAAGGGGAGGGCAAATCGTATTTCCCGCAACCTTGGTATACGTGGTATCCGACTGATACCCAAGCCGCGTGGAACCAGTTACGCGTTTAAACGGGTATCGCCCCAAACTAAACTAATGGAAATGTGTTTATCGTACATTACATATTTAATTGTACAGCTATTAGTTTATGTGAATTCTTACAATTTTTTTTTACTAAGCAATAATTCTTGTAAAAAAAAAAAACAGTTAATTATCACAAATTGAGTATATAATGGTAAATTATTCAAAATAAAAAGTAAGTAGCATAAATTAATAAATCAAATAAAATAATTTTTGAAACAAACTTTTCATAATTTTATCTGATGCTAACTCTTCATGTAATAATCCATAAATATAAAATCATTTGTGCGTTCAAGTTTTCCTGTGATTGAATTGTTCTATACTTATTTTTAACACTAAACAATTTCCTACAAGTTCGTATAAAATTTGGAGAGTATGCATACTAATTGTTTACTAAATGTATAGCAAAAAATAAAAAATAAATAGTATGAATTTTGTATGATGAGGGGGGGTACTGGGGGACATGTATGTGTTAAATTGGGTTTTACTTATTTATTGTTGGGCCAAAAGAGCATTATTTATATTTAATTATTATTATTATTATTATTATTATATTTTACTCAATTATTATGCTCTGTGCCTCTGTTGGGATTGTTATGGGCTACCACAAAAACATGTATAAATAGAATTGTGCGTAACACAATATCACAGGTGTTACACACCCATATTTGATCATAGACTATCTATTAATTTAAAATATTATAAGATTAATATATTCTGAGAAACACCTACATTTAATAGGTTGGCCATAAACCAATAATAACAATGTATATTTTAAAAGATTAATATATATTCCTAGAAACACCTACATTTAATAAGACCAGTAATCTATTATATAAAAATAAGTCCGGTTTTCCTCCCTGACGCTATAACTCCAGAACGCACGAACCGATTTCCACGGTTTTGCATTCGTTGGAAAGGTCTTGGGCTCCGTGAGGTTTATAGCAAAGAAAATTCTGGAAAATTCAGGAAAAATTCAACAGAAAAGTGGGGAAATCGTTTTTCACATACAGCGCCATCTATTATACATAGCATGTACTTCAAACCAATAGCAACGGTGCGTGATAAAGTGTGTGATAGATAGTCATTATTCTCTGCTCAGTTAATTTCATTTAAGCTCAGTGTAAATTATGTGGATCGTGCATTTGAAGTTAAATTCAACACTCTGTCCATAGTCCAAAATGCCTAGAGAACGACGTGCGAACATCGGCCGCCGCACAAGACATGCAAGCCAGCAACAAGTCTATTCAAGGAACTTAAGAGAAGAAAGAAAAAATATAATAAGAGAAAATGACCGATTGAGACATCGCGTGAGCACACGAAGATCATTGGCATCATACAATCGCTTGGCATTCCAATATGATCCCACTGCGAACTACAGTGATGATGAAAATTTGGATATTGGACGAATGACGACTATATGCCGATATTGCAATGCGGTAAAGTTCAAAAGAGAAACGGTTGGATTGTGCTGCGCAAGTGGAAAAGTCAAACTGGATCCATTACTTACACCACCACAGCCACTGAAAACATTGTTTGATGGAAGTGATCCCGATTACAGCCATTTTCTTCAACACATCCTTGAATACAATAACTGCTTTCGCATGACTTCCTTTGGAGCTAATATCATTCGAGAAGGCGGCTTCATGCCGACTTGCAAGGTAAAAGATACAACACACATAACCAACACATAATTGCAACACATAACAACTTCATATACACCACACACTACACCATCACACGATTTACAATGTATTCATGAACAAATTTTAATGATTATTTGCAATTACAGATACAAGGTCAAATATATCATTTGCGTGGTTCAATGGTGCCAACACCAGATGAACCGCATCAATTTCTGCAAATATATTTCATTTCGTCGATGGTGGATCAGCTGAACGTGCGGTGCAATATACAGGGAGCACAACAGTTAAAGAGACGAATTATTGAACAGTTGCAAGCATTTTTTCACGCTAATAATGCTGTGGTTAATATGTTCAAAACAGCATTGGAACGAATGCCATCGGATACGCACAAATTTGTCATAAGAGCGGATTGTACTCCAACAGGTGAACATGTGCGAAGATTCAATGCACCCACCGTTAATGATGTTGCTGCAATTATTGTTGGCGATCCAACTAAATCACGAGACATTGTCGTTCAGCGAAGAAGCAATATCATGCATCGTGTAAACGAGACACATCGTTTGTACGATGCGTTACAATATCCAATCATTTATTGGCAAGGGCAAGACGGATACGACATCACGTTGAAGATGGTCGATCCAATTACAGGTACAATATTCACACACTAATTATTTCCATTATTACTTTTATTGGTTTCCATTAACAATTCATTTAATTTTGCATTTTCAGGAGTATCAACGAATAATAAAAATCTAAGCGCAATGAATTACTATGCGTATCGTATGATGATTCGTACACATGAGGAGAATGTCATTCTGAAGTGCGGTCGGCTATTCCAGCAATTCGCTGTCGACATGTATGTCAAAGTCGAGACCGAACGTTTAGCGTTCATCAGATTCAATCAGCCAAAGCTACGATCTGAGGACTATATACACTTGCGTGATGCTATTCATTCAGATGGTGATGTTCAGAATATTGGACGACTGACGATTCTCCCATCAACTTATATCGGAAGCCCACGCCACATGCACGAATACGCTCAAGACGCTATGACGTACGTGCGAAATTATGGAACTCCGGATTTATTTATTACGGTCATATGCAATCCGAAGTGGACGGAAATTGAACGCGAGTTGGAACCGGGTCAAAAACCGCAAGATCGCCATGACATAATCGCCAGAGTATTTCAGCAAAAACTCAAGGTTATGATGGATGTGCTTACTAAGTATCGAGTTTTTGGTGACACACGTTGTTATATGTACTCGGTGGAATGGCAGAAGCGTGGACTACCGCATGCTCATATCCTAATTTGGTTGCTGAACAAATTACATTCAAATGAAGTGGATGACATCATATCAGCTGAAATTCCTGATCCAGTCACTGATCCCCGTCTACACGACATTGTGACGACACAGATGGTGCATGGACCATGCGGTGCATTAAATCCATTATCGCCTTGCATGGCTGATGGAAAATGCACAAAACGATATCCGCGACCGTTAGTTGCTGAAACAGTCACAGGGAACGATGGATATCCAGTTTATCGTCGGCGTTCAAAAGAAGATAACGGTCGAACTATCAAAGTTAAAGTTCAAAATCAAGAGATTGAGATCGGAAATGAATTCATTGTACCATATTGCCCGCTGCTATCACGAATTTTCGAAACACATGCAAACGTTGAGAGTTGTCATTCGGCCAAATCAATCAAATATTTGTGCAAGTACGTCACAAAAGGCAGCGACATGGCTGTGTTTGGTATTGCGTCGGAAAATGTGAATGACGAAATCAGCAACTTCCAAATGGGCAGATACGTCAGTACTAATGAAGCACTGTGGCGATTATTGTCATTTCAAATTCATGAAAGATATCCCACAGTTGTACATTTAGCAGTGCATTTGGAAAATGGCCAAAGAGTTTACTTCACTGAGGCTAATGCGGCACAACGAGCTGAGAGACCACCATCGACAACATTGACTAGCTTCTTTGCAATGTGTGAAGCAGATCCATTCGCAGCGACGCTGATGTACGTTGAAATGCCCAAGTATTACACTTGGAATCAATCAACAAAGAAATTCCAACGTCGCAAACAAGGAACCCCAGTTCCAGACTGGCCACAGGTGTTTTCAACTGATGCACTAGGTCGTATGTACACTGTTCATCCTAGAAACGATGAATGTTTTTATTTGCGACTGCTGTTAGTAAATGTACGTGGACCGAAATCATTTGCGCATTTGAAAACTGTGAATGGCCACCAATGCCAAACATATCGAGAAGCATGTCAACTATTGGGTTTGCTGGAGAACGATTCTCATTGGGATTTAACACTTGCAGATTCAGTTGTTTCATCAAATGCGTACCAAATACGAACGCTGTTCGCAATTATCATCACCACATGTTTTCCTTCACAACCAATTCAGTTATGGAACAAATACAAAGACGCCATATGTGAAGATATCTTGCATCGCTTGCGTATTCAAACGAATAATCCTGACATCCAAATAACCGATGAAATCTACAATGAAGGATTGATTCTGATTGAGGATCAATGCTTGACTATTGCAAACAAGCTACTGATTGAAGTAGGAATGATTGCGCCAAATCGATCGATGCACGATGCATTCAACCAAGAATTAAATCGAGAGCTGCAATACAATGTTGATACATTGCAGGAATTCGTTAGAAATAATGTTCCGTTGCTGAATGAACAGCAAAAACAAGTATACAAAACATTAATGCAAGCGGTGGACAATAATACTGGTGGTCTATTCTTCCTGGATGCACCTGGAGGAACAGGGAAAACATTTGTCATTTCATTGATTTTGGCCACTATTCGATCAAGATGTGACATAGCTTTGGCGTTAGCATCATCTGGAATTGCGGCGACTCTTCTAGATGGCGGTCGTACTGCACATTCTGCGCTTAAGTTGCCACTCAATTTAAACACAATTGATACTCCAACGTGCAATATTTCCCGATCCAGTGCAATGGGAAAATTGTTAATGCAATGCAAGCTCATTGTTTGGGATGAGTGCACAATGGCACATAAGAAATCACTTGAAGCACTTAACTTCACACTGAAGGATCTTCGGAGAAATAACAACATCTTTGGCGGCTTGATGATATTGTTGGCAGGCGATTTCAGGCAGACGTTGCCAGTAGTTCCCCGTGGAACGCCTGCAGATGAATTGAATGCTTGCCTAAAGGCATCACCTTTATGGAATAACGTAAAAACATTATCGCTAACCACTAATATGAGAGTTCAACTTCAAAATGATCAAAGTGCTGCACAATTTTCCAAACAATTGTTAGATCTTGGAAATGGAAAAGTCCCAGTTGATGCGACATCTGGATTAATTACTCTTACCAACGACTTTTGCCGATTTGTAGACACTCAATTAGTTCTTATTGAAAATGTTTTCCCAAACATTAGTGAGAATTATAAGAATTATGCTTGGTTAAGTCAACGAGCAATTCTTGCAGCAAAGAATAATGATGTCCACGCACTGAATTTCACCATTCAATCAAAAATTGCTGGCGATTTGGTGACATACAAATCCGTTGATTCAATAACAAATCCCGATGATGTAGTAAATTATCCAACGGAGTTTTTGAACTCTCTGGAGATACCAGGATTTCCACCACATAACTTGCAACTGAAAGTTGGTACAGTTATTTTGATACTGCGTAATTTGAATCCACCGCGACTTTGCAACGGTACTCGACTTTCGGTAAAGAGACTTATGCCGAATTTAATTGAGGCAACCATTATTAACGGAAAGTACGCAGGTGAAAATGTATGTATTCCTCGAATACCAATGATTCCGACTGATCTTCCGTTTGACTTCAAACGATTGCAATTCCCAGTTCGCCTTGCGTTCGCAATGACAATTAATAAGTCGCAAGGCCAATCGCTTAGTGTTTGCGGGATAAATTTGGAAAATCATTGTTTTTCACATGGACAGTTATACGTTGCGTGTTCACGAGTTGGGAAACCATCCGCTTTGTTTGTGTTAACGTCAGACCAAAAAACAAAAAATGTGGTTTACCAAAGAGCACTACAATGAAACAATTAAATAACACTTCATTTTAGTAGGTAATTGAAATGAATTTATTACTGTTGTAAAATGAAATAAATATTTTCCTTTTCAAATATATAACAAAAAAAAATTTTTTTTCTTTATCTTTTAATCACCAAACGAAATGTTACATAAAACGAATCTGGTGGCGAAACGGAGTTCGCCGGGTCTGCTAGTATATATTAAAAAGATGTAATCTATAAAATGATAAGTAGGTCAAACGAACGTGGCCTATTGCTAAATAAGGAGTTATGCCGAAACAACAAGACCAATGACGTCAATCAATCCATATAAAAGAGGGATCAAAATGACCACAATTCAGATGAGTTCTAGTCACGGAACAACAAGCTACTCCACGTCACTTTGTATTAGAATTTTGTTAAACACTTTGAGTATTAAAATAAATGTATTAATGTATTAAAAGTCTCATGTCTATTTAAATTAAACACATCTTCGACTCGCAACACTTGAAATCGAGCCGGTGGCACGTAACAGGATAGATTATTTATATCTATCGTATATAAATAAATAAATTATTGTGCCAAAGGAACTCCATGTTTATACTATTTATTTTACCATTATTATTTTACTATTATTTTTAATTCCATCATTATTCTATTTAGCTAAAAATTTGAGTTAAAAATTTTTGTTACTAGTTTTTAAGTTACGCACATATACATGACATATATATATATTTTTTTTAAATAAAATTTTAAACAAAAATAAAATAATAATGGTCGATTTCATCATTATAAGTACGTAATTATCTTTTAAATTAAAATATTATCATACAATTGTTGAATGGAATTAATAATATCAATAGGTATTGTATTAATCCACGTCGGAAAATTTCAGCGAAATCGATCGATGTGGCATCAAAAAGGATTTAAAATTAAATCTGATCATCCTAGCGTTCCTTAAGTGTATGTTCTTATGTTATTTAAACAATAAATATTAATAAAAAGACAAAAAAGATATATAGACTCATATAGAGAATACTTAGTATTTTGAATCATATATGGTTTTATTTATATTTTGTTAACTGAACCAACCAATGTATGTCAATTTGTGCATTATATAATTACAAAATGAACAAGTGAACAAAATATTCAATAATACATACATTAAATATTTATACATACCGGCATATATATATTATAGCTATATAATATTTTAAAAACATTTTATATAATTATGGTTTTTTATGAAAATGAAAATTTGGATTCGATGGTGTTTCCACTAATTTACTTAAGCATTCTAAAATGTTTTAATATTCATATAAGACAGATTATTTAAAGAATAAGGCACATATTTATCATTGTTTTATATCTATGATTTATAGTGATCAGTATAAAATCCTGTCAAAGTTGAACTATGTAGGTACTATCTACTGAAACTCCGAACGTCAGTTATAACGCTAGATTTGCGGGGCCCTGGGTAAAATAAATACTGGATCTTTTGAATTACATTGATCAGAAGAATGTATTGATAAAAATGTTTTAAGTGTATGTCATCTTTTTTTAAATAAATAACCAAAAAATGTTTTCTCGTTGCTTCAAAAATATATTATTAGGGCTCGGATTTTAAAGCACAATAAATAACAAAAAAAAGGAAAAAATTGTCTTAAAAAAGCAAAAATTAAGCAAATTTATCTTTAAAAAAAGCAAAAAAAAAGCATGACCAAAATTTAACATGAATTAGTTATAAAACTGAATAAAAAAAATTAATTAAATTAAAAAAATAATTAACTACCATGTATTTTATAAGATTTTCAGTAATGAAACTGTCTCTATCGTGTGAGAGAATGTTTTTATACAAAAAAAATGAATGCTTTACATCCACTGAAGTTATCGGTACATACTTCATGCAAGAGGTTTTATTTAAATCTAACCTATGATAATTAATTTCGTTTGATTAAATGCCAACAGTATATTATTAATGTCTAGTAATTGTTTCCAGCCTTTATTTTTCACAAGAACACGATTTAGTTTACACGAAATTGTAGTTGCAATATTTCCATTAGCTTAATTTAACATATTTTCTGCAACTAAGACAATATTTATACATTTTGTCAATGATCTAACTGTCTGCAGAATATCGATAATCTATACGTTTAATAAATTTAACAATTATGTCAAAAATAATAATAATCCTATACAACCATTTAGTCCGTATTCTGGGTTTTCACATTTGTGATTAATTAAATAAATTTTTTTTTTAGTATAATAAACACATACACATGTATAAAAATAAATTGGTTTACTTGGAAACAGAAAGATATGAAACGAATTTATATTTAAAAATAAATAAATATAAATAAAAAACTACTTACACAGCTAATCTTGTTAGAAACCTTCATTATTTTTTACATATTGTCATATTGTTATCTACAATATCTATAAATACACATCAATATTTTTACAAATCAAAATATATTAAAATAAAATTATAGCTAAACCTAATAAAGATTTATTTGTTCAAGGTTTTAAGTAACATAATAGTTTTTATTTGTTAATGTATTGGAGATCATTAATTATTGAGATTTTAAATGTGTATATTTATATTACTTAAACAGGATTTTTCATTCAAACATTATTAAAATCAATTTCATAAAAATAAAGGTAAAGATAGTGAATACTGAAAAACTATTTGAGTAAAATTAGTATATGCGAAAAGAGTTGATCATAAAAGTGAAATCACTTTTATTAAAAAAATATTGAACTTTGTGTAAAAATTTTTTTCTATACACCATAAATATTAATATTAATAATTAAAACATTTATTTTTTCATAAAAATATAAAAGGAAATATATATTAAGTATATAATATATAAGTTTAAAATCTGAATTGTAATTATTTATGTTTGTAGTACAACTATTTTGTATAAATTATCCCGATTCTTGGTGTATCTTTAAAAAATCTTTCTCTTAACATTTTTAAAGAGTCAATAAAAATAAAAGAAAATATTGGCATAAAATCAATACACTTTCATAATCTTAGAAAGAATAAAATATATTGATACCAATTCATACATGACCGAAAAGGATAATCAATCAGTATATATAGAAAGCTAAACCAAAATATTCTAGATACATTAATCAACATTTTAATAGCTTGAAAAAAATGCAGGTAATTTTTCATATAAACTAAGCGTTAAATGTCAAAACTGAAGTTAGTGTCAATTATTTTAGAATTATTGGGAAATTAGTTGGTTTAATGAGTTAAATGTTAATATCATGTTTAAATATACAATTTAACCATAAGTACACTGTGATAAAATTGATTATTTTAACTTTTGAGCTTATATAAAAAACACGAAGTGATCTTACATCCATCAAACATATGTAGTTAGGAATTGCAAAGATATTCAAGATACTCATTAAATACCTGAACATTTGAATATTTTTACGATTGACTTGTTTCCGACGTGGATTTTATAAAAAGTGATATTATTTATCAAAACATATTAATCTCCAATAATTAATTTATCATATTGTAAATAATATAAATATGGAAAAACATTAAAAATAAAGATACTTTTTAGAATATAAACATATTTATTAAATTTTAATATATTTATATTATTATTAAGTGTGTACTTATGTAAAATTAAGTTAGGACTAATTTAGTTAGGACTTTTTGAAATACTACTCAAATCGATGGACACCTTACAATTAATTAATTTTCTTTCTTTTTTTATTTTTTATTTTATTTTTAAGTATTTTAGAAAAGATTTTTATTTTTGATGATTACCTATTAGAATTCCCATTATTATTTTATTGGCTACCAGGTAAATTTGTATATTATATTAGAATATGGCAATGGCAAGGTATAATTGTATTGAAATTAAACAACTAAGTATTCTTCTCATGAAAAAATTGCAAAAATCAATTCTAAAATCAAATATACCTAATTACTTACATTTACCCGTTAAGCCTAGCTTGGATAATTATTTTAAAAGTATTTTATATTTATCAAAAATAATTTTTATTTTCGGGTTAAACATATTTTTGAGATAAATAATGTTTTAAAAATGTAAATTAATTAACAAGCACAATATGTAATATAAAAATAAGGGATTTAATTTAAGCTATCGTGATATTAACTATTGTTGTGATTTAAAATATATAGGATTAGTATAAACGTTCATAAGGATATTATTTATTTATACTTTATATTTAAATTATTTTATATAGTAGCGAAACACTGCAAATTATTTTTTTATTGAAGGATTGTAACTATAATTTATTATGAATAATTTATACTAGTAATTGATTCAGAAAAATGTATATCTAGTTACTCAATACAGTTAAACAGTTATTTAACAAAAGTTATTAAAATATTGTATTATTCAGCATATTTTAAATAAATTATGACAAATAGTACCATTTATTCTATTAAGAGGAATACATATTTAAGTAAAAATAGAAGTTATTGTATAGTGTAAAATTTATATCAGGAAGGTGTACATTTATACTAGTATAAATATATGCTTTAGATTCTGATCGTGAATCTAGAAGTTATATTGGTTTCATAATGATGTGTTTTTTTTGCAAAAGATACTGTTAGGAGCTGCAAAAGTCCTCCAAAAGTTTCATATAGTTTCTCTATCGATTGGAAATCGAACACAGATGGTGCTTGAAACATGTTAAGACTGCGAAATTTCCTTCAGTTGTCTTGAAAACAGATAAAATAATCTGCCTAAAAACAAAGATTTAAAATAATTAAATTTGTAAATCGTTGTTTTCCTTCAACATCACTTTAGATTAATAATTAGTATTGATAGTTACCGATGTATATTTTAAGTACGATACGTGTTGTTTTATAAAAATCGTCAACATTTTAAAAACAAATCATCATAACAGAGCAGCTAAAATGATTGTAAAATAATCATCTATGATCATATAATTATCTTTAACATACTTTAAAAGTATATACAAGTATACATAATAATTATTAATAACACTTAAAAATCATTTCCAGTTGGCTGTGTAATTTTTCCGTGTAT